GTATAATCTTGTTTGTATAGTTCAGTTATTACACATCTGAATTTTAGTCCACACAACTCTATAAAAAAAAAATCACTTCCATTTGCAGAAGCTCACCTTGCTCTCCCTCCTCCCCAGATATTGATCAGGGTAATTAAATCCTCATCTTCCTTGAACTGCTAAATTCTTCTCTTAAAAGGAAGAGTTGGGGGGAAGAGTGGGAATTATTCATCCAATACTACATTTAATCCCTTACTCCTACCTTCATCTCAGGAAGAGAGCTTCCCCTTTTACAGTGTACCTCAAGGCATCAAGCATTTTCTTGATAGTCAGATATATCATCAAGACATAGTTAGTAACCAATTGTAAGAACTCTACCAGACAAGCAAGTGATACTCCTATAAACTGATTAGTGTAGTAGTAGACGACAGTGTGCATCCAAGTAACACTCTTGCTGAATTATTACAGCTGACACCAGATGGCCAAGCTTCCCTAAGCTTCACTGTTCTCCCACTCGTAACTTGCTCCTCTACAAGAACTCCTGCCCTGCTCAAGTCAGGGATTTAAAAACATGTCACAGGTCATCCACCACATGATACCACCCCAGGCACAGCATTCAGAGCTACAAGAGTGATATGACTCAAGGATAAGAAGCAGTCAGGCAGACCTCAAACCCTATAGTTACCTAGGCCTTCATATGAGACCAGGTACTTTGTTACCCACCTTAAGAAGCCTGAACCAGGTTATCTACATCTTAAATCCATATGCTGATCAGTTTGCCAACAGAACCATTTGAGTTAACTATTAGGTAGAAAAACAAGACAGGGTAACGGTTACTCCCCCTTTTGGAATGGGGGCTGCAGATTGGGGTCAGAAATTCTTATATTTGCAGGTTTCAGGCAATTGAAATCCTATTATTTTGGTGTGTGCATGCACAGAAGTGCATCAAACTTTTCATTTTATTCTTCCAGGTGTTCCTGCTTCTAAACCAGACAGCCCTCAAAGTTTTAGGAGTTTTTTTTGTTTTTTGGGGGTTTTTTGGTAGAGTCAGGAATATCTACTGAAGCAAAGCCTTGCTTCTTCAACAATAAGTAGGGTAGTAGCCACATGTACGAAGGTATTCTACTTTAACCACTAATTCTACATAGCGAGTAGAATGGACACTTGTCCGAGTTACTGTGCTTGAAAACTGGATCTCTTCTAGTCTAACCCACTTACATTTTTGTATAGCTAGGCAAGCTAGTCCATTTTGCTACCTTTATTTACACTGTAGTATATCAAGAAAGCCTTAAGACTTGTCCACACTGCAGTCTACAAGTGGAGACTAGAGGGATAGTCTTGTTTTTCTAGTAGTTTGGAAAGAAAGTGTTGTTTTGTTTAAAAAGAGCACCACACAAACAAGCAGAGACTGGTCACACAAAGCTACTTTGGACAGGAAGAACCCCAAGTTAGAGTGGTTGCTCTTGACCTTGCTCAGCCTCGTCATGAGTGTTGGAGCAAGGCTAGCAGAATATACAAGCAAAAATTATCCCATCAAAAATTCGAGTACCCAACATCTAAATATTAAAAAAAAAAAAAAAAATGCATCTTCAATAGTTTGTTGCATAGATCTACTAGCTCTTAAATAAGGTCACAAACTAAGGTAGACTAAATCTACTTCCACATTATTGACTATTACTCATTTCAATTCCACACCTTGTCCTAACTACTGCATTCAGCCAGTGGTATACAGCTACCCAGTTATACAAAATGTAGTGCATCTCTGAACCCTATCAGAAGAGAAGACAGTACAGCTCCTATACACTTAGGACTTTAAATCTGAGTAATTTCTTAAATTGCATCCCTTCTATCACCAAGTTTTTTTCTGCAGTTGCATGCTACAAGAGGCAAATCGGCACCTACTCAATTACCTTGAGTTAGCCACCTTACTAAACAGCAGCTCTTGATCACATTTTACCACTAAAGATGGGGGAAAGTCACCACAGGCAAGTGTGACCTTTTGTACACCAAGTTCTTGAAGACCATAACTACCTTTCCCAAGTATTAGTCACTTAACTTTAGGAACCAAAGGTTTCCAAGAAACAACAACTTTGCAAGTTTTGAAATGTTCTGTGAACTCTGTCCTTGGACTCCGCTGCAACTAAACATGCAGAGGCCTTGTTCAGTTCATTGCAATTCTTATTCATCTTAAGTCATAGGTCTGTTGCACAACTGACAGCAGTTCCTGCAGCCTTTCTGGGAAGCTCTCTCCTGATGACTGAAGCTCAAAAGTATGCCCATGTACCTATATATTCCTCTAGTTCTTGCAGCTGCAAGACAGGTAACCTTTAATTTCAGATTGTCAAGATTATCTAGCATAGAAGACTTGAACACAGAACACATAACTAAAGTCTCGTTTAAAGAAATTAGTTGCATTAAAGCACATTTTTCTTAAAATAAACTAATATAGTATAACAGTCATCTACTTAAGCCATATATAGTCAGCTGCAGAGATGCAATAGTCATGCCAAACCACTGAACTGGTTAAAGTTATCAATGCATCAAGCTCTCTTTTGACAGCAGTAGCACTCTTCATCTGTAGAAGAGGCACCCTTCTTTAATCGCTTCAGTTTTTCTACTAGGAGAGTGGAGAAGGCATGTGGAAGTTCAAGTGCAGGAAAGCTTGATTTTCTTCTTCGAACAGAAGACCAAGTAGTAAGCACAAGGATGAAGTCTACTAGTTCTAGAAACTAGGTTATTGTCATTCAGTTCACCAACCTCTAGAAACACTGATAGGTTATGTTAACAGTACACCTAGCATAGGTGGTGTTCTTAAGTATCCAGGGCATTAAGACACCGTCATGTGCATCTGATCATATAAAGGCGTTTGAAGTGGAGTCAAATAAACGTTCCTCCACCTAGAGTACAGATGTCAGGCAAATAGGAAGCATTACTCAGTTGTAAAAGCTTACTTACAAAGCTAGGATACTATATAGATCTAATAATCTGTATTTAGGCAATTATAACATTTATGGCAAAAACTCTTGTTAATGAGTTATGCCAACTGATAGGATCCAACCACTATGAGTTGGTTCAAGTTAAATTAAAATAAGTGAGAAGATTTAAAAACTCACCTATGCCATCTTTACATCAAGTAGTTTAAAAATTGATCCACCTCATTCATGAAGCATGTGCCTACAAGTTGGGTTCAGTTTTCTAATAGTAGGAAGACTTTTGTAAACAGCTGGTATGTTTGGCCGTTCTAAAATTAAATCTAGGCTAACATCCATTGAAGTTTCAGATGGAAAGCCATATTTACATAAATACTATGAGTTAATGCGTTCACCTAATTAACTCCAAGAGCTCGCATCTCCCTTGGTTTTCCCTACCACTAAACAACCTGGTAGTTACTAGGTCAGTTATTTTTTTTTTTCCCCTCCATCCACATAATGCCTGCATTTTCACATGATGTGGAAGTCATCCTCAATTCCCAATACCCTTGGATTTAGTTTGCATTTTAGGTGGCAGCTAATATTCATGAGCCTCAGTTCTGCTAGAGACAGTGGTCAGTAGAGTTACCTACCCTTAGATTTCTTCCACCATACACAGTGGGAAGAGTGGTCCTCCTTACCCACCTTGTTACAACAATCACCAAATCGCTATTTTGAGTCTGCAGTGTCATGCAAATTACAGTCATCCATATTCCCCATTAGGCATACAGTTGAACTTGTCCATCTGATGCATTCACAAAAAAAAAAAAGTCAGAAAGCAAGTCCCACAATAATTGGAAGCAAAATGGGTGCATCAGTCAGACTGCATGATTTCTGTGCCATGCTGCAGGGTGACTTACTGCTGTGCAACAGCAGGCTCAACACATTTAAAGAGACAAAATGCAGTTAAGCCAATCAAAAAAACTACCAACTGCCACTTCATAAAATCTACCTACCACATGTGGTATTGGTGCATCTCGGAATCAGTTGGTTCAATTGTTGACCAACTAACTGTACTTTTCCCTAGAACTGATTAAAGTTAGTAAGGAGTTTAGGTTGTAGCCACGTTGGTCTAAGGACATAGGCAGACAAGGTTCCTTGGGTGAATGTGATATCTTTTATTAGACCAACCCAAATGGTTGGAGAATAGTTATTAAGCAAGCTTTTGGGTTCAAAAACCCTTCGTCAGGCTAAGGAAGCTTCAGCAGTTGGCTGGATGGAAGAGCACACACCAATTGCTGAAGCTTCCTTAGCCTGACGAAGGGTTTTTGAACCCAAAAGCTTGCTTAATAACTATTCTCCAACCATTTGGGTTGGTCTAATAAAAGATATCACATTCACCCAAGGAACCTTGTCTGCCTTAAAGTTAGTAACGCTTTTAGGACAGAGCTCGCAAAAGATATTGAGATGTAGATTTTAAGTCCCGTCTCCAGGGGAAATAAGGAGATGCAATGTTTAAAGTTCAATATTAGGCTTACACTCCATAGGAAATGTACTGCACAGCTTTACACACTTGACACCAATGACTACCATCTCCATTTCAGGTGGCTCACCTGCACTCCAAGATGGGAAGATGGATTTTGTCATCCCCCCACACCCGCCACCTTCAACAAGAGATTTTTGGACCAGCAGAAAGGAAGCCTTCAGCAGAGACAGCAGCCTGAACCGGCTTCCTTCAAAGAAGGGCTGGGGGCAAAACTGTTTCATCTCCCGAGGCAGCGGTGAACTTCCACAAGCCACGAGGCCTGTTTCGGAGGCAGACCCACCGCACAGGCCGCCTGCCCAGGTGCCAGCCTCCCCAGGGAGAAGAGCGGGCAGACAGGAGCCAGGTGGCACCTCTCCCTACTGCAAGAGGGAAGGGGTCTGGCAGCACCTGAGGCGTCTCCCGCTCCCTCGGGCTGCGGCGGGGGGCGCAGAGCGGGCGGCGGGGTCTCAGCCGGGCACCGGGAAGGCGAGGGGAGAG